AGCCTAAACCCTAAACCAAAAAACAGTTCCTAAGGGCCAAAGAGTGTCGACTACAGCAGGGCAGGTGCCATCTGGCCGGTCGTCGCAGATGTGGAGCGGCTTCCCATTGACAAGGATGTCCTGGGCTGCTGCTAACGTTTAGGTTTAGCGAGTCGGGTGTTTAGGGTTTAGGCACTGAAGTTAAGTTACCATAATACGGTATATGGTAAATAATGGGGCTTCCCTTTTATAGCTTTGAAAAAAGATACTTAGCAGCAACCCAATGTCCTTCATGGCAATGGTCCACTCCTGGTCATTCTGTATGCGATGCCAGGTTAGGGGGCTTTTCGGCGCAATGTGGGCCCTCTCGATGCCGCCAAAGGAGATACTACCGCTCCGATGAGTGTCCTCAGACAAGTACACGCCGAAGAGATTTCTCTCCAGCGCATTGGTCTTCTTCAACGCATGCATCACGGACCCTGCGGAGGCGGATGGTGCCAGTCCAAGGATCCCATCGAAGGGCAGAATGCGGAAGGGGTAGTCCGTCTGATTGGTTGACATGCCAAAGGGTTGGCCCGAGACTTTTAACCTCTTGGCCTTTGTGCCATGGCAACCTGGGTCACTGTGACTGTCGCAGAAGGTCAGTGTATCTCGGCCATCCACATACTCGACTTGCCCGGTTCCATAGTGGATGGTCCCATCTGCGCGGACTGGATCCAACTCCTCGAAGCTCTTTGAGCCTTCGACTGCGAATCTGTGGTGCTCAGAGCAGGTATCACTCTTACAACCGCTGCCCGGGACCCAGGTAATCCCGCTGCCTGTGTCAAAGATCGCTGTGAAGCGTTGTGCTGGGCTTCCCAACGCAAAATCCCCGTAGTATTGGGAATTGTTGTTGTTCAGGAGGTCGACACGCACCACACCGCCCTCTAGACGCTTCAGCTCCTCGGCACCCCGCACTGAATCCGACGAGTCCTGGTCTCCAGCCTGCGCAGCATCTTCTTGCGCCTTAGCATCTTCCGTGAGCGCTGATGCTCTCAGCCGGCCTGAGTGTACCAACTCTGCTCCCTGGGCTGCTGGATGCCCGAAGTGCGTGTCAACATGCGGTAGATGCGCCAGAAGGCGCTCCACCCAGCCCATGGCAAGAAGGCGATTTAGAGCCCCTTTCGCCGGGAGGACTTCGCAGGTTGTGGGTTGAGGGCTGGACTGATCTGTTCGGTAAGTTGGGCATATGGCGCTGTTCTCAATTGATAGCAGGCCATGATACTTGCAAGTCTCAATTCTTCGCATACTGACCTGCGATCATAGACGGCTTTAAACAGCGGCTTCACTGGCAGTCTTCTGGTTGAATGCAAAACTCATTTGACGTTCTTCAAAACTAACGCTGGGCGCGACGCTGCTTGTTATTGCGCGCGCTGCGCCCTCTCCGTTTAAGAATCTTCAAATGTGGCCCACAGCAACTACTACATATGAAAAGCATGGCACGGCAACAAACTTGTCTCTTAATGCCGGGATCATGGAAAATACCCTCACGTCGTGCAGATTCGTGTAGGTCTCCACCAGAATTGCAAGGGGCGTTGTAGTCACAATAACATGAATACCAGCAACAAAATGCTAATAGTATTAGTACGCAGGAAGAGACCATAACACATATATGTATCAGCAATAACACAGGACTATAGTATTAGTACCCAGGAAAGAGGCTGGATGTGTTTTCGGGAAACCGCCATGTAGCAATGCGCCGCCTGCATCAGCTTGATCCGCTAACAGGACCGGTGCACCTGAAGATTGGGCTTCAGGGCTTTCAGGATACCGTGTTAAGGGCATCATCTATTATTCATATATGGTAGATTCCGAAAATAGGGGGACCTCAATATGGAC